CAGGAGACAGACACTATCTCTACTTTCAAGATTAGGCTTCAAACTTTCCTTTTTGCTAAAGCATATAGTTAGGGCTGGACCAGGTGACCCTGAATCCTCCTGTTAAAAGGGAGGTTTTCCTCCACACAGTACTCGCGCTGCTCACTCGATGACTGTGTGGTTGTTGGGGTTTCCTCTTTAATATTGTAGAGTTTTACTTTGCACCTTGAGGTGAATGTTGTGAATTGGTGCTAAGTGAATAAGCCTGAATTGTAAAATAAGTTATAGATTTGATGGCTGGATACGTGAGGATAAAGAGAAATGAGGCTGATGTCAGCTGTAACCTGATCAGTGTGAATAACTTTGAATCTTTGAATATGAAGCTTCAGTAGCATTTTGTGCCGGGGCCATCTGTGTTTGTGCGACTCTCACCTTCCTCCTCTGGAAAACTTTCCCGTGTTCGATGAACAGCGCCGAAGGAGCCCGTCTCAGGGAGTTTTTAGCTGACGCCGTCCGTCGCAGCAGAGGGTTCAGGATGCCAGCCTGGACCAGCAGAGACCAGCAGAGACCAGGTTCAGAGTAGATCTACGCTCAACGGCCTCTCACAGGTAGTTCATGCACCCTCCCCCATCCACACCTGTCCAGGTTACATTTTCCTACCTGAGCGCGCTCACTGTAGATGGCCAGGGACTGTCTGAAGGAGGTGCGCTTGTTTTGCTTTGCGCTGGATGCCAGGTTGATCTCTGACCCCGCCCTCAGCGGCACTACCTTCCTGTCGGTCAGCTCGAGCTTCTGAATGCTTCGCTGCACTTCGGCCGACTTCCTGTCTGAAACGCAGAGCATCCAACCGTTCTTCCATCAGCTCCACCCAGTACTCCATCTACATGTTACACTGTTTATCCAGGACTGCTCACTAACAGCTGATGATAGGAGCTTATCAGTGATTTTGGCCAGCTGTTGGTCCATAACGTTTACCTCTTATGGTCTTATGTTCACATTAAATCCAAACTTTACACTTTAGATACGATCAGATCTGATTTTCAAAGTGGAGCAGTCGCCCCCTGCTGGACACTAGAAAGCGTGCAGGTTTAAGGCGTCTCAGTTTTCAGACACTGGTTCGTGCACACGGCTGTTATTGTGCTTCATGTTGACCATTTCTGAATCAGCATCACCAGGTTTTTAAGAAACTTTCAATTTTCATAATAAAAGCCCAGCAAACCTAGTATAGGGAAAGTCTTTTATTTTGAAGTTGATCATCATAAGGACTCACTGTGGCCGCTGAGGACGGTGTTGCTGTATGTCACTGAGCCTTTGGACGACACCGAGCTGCAGCGAATCGAACCCTGAGAGCCGTGGAGCTGAAAGACGACACACAGGCGACGTTACGAGTTGCTCCAAATAAGATTGTTTATCTTATTCTATTCTGTTGTTTTTCTCTCTTTACTGCTCTTCTACTTTCTGCTGTGACCAAAGATTTCCCACATGCGGGACTATTAAAGGATCATCTGATCTTATCTTAAATCCGAATGTGCTGCGGTGCAGCCCGTACCATGTGCTCCAGGACGGGGGTGTTGGAGTAGATGGGCTGGTCTCGGCCCGGCTCGCTCAGGTGGAAGGGGTCGTCCATGTAGGTGTTGGAGGAGGGAAACCTGCGAGTCTGCAGCCCACTGAGGACGAGAGGAAGCAAAGTCAGCCGTCAGCTCAGAGCCGAGATGAAGCTTTATCGGAGTTAGCGACGCTGCGCTGGTGAAATATGAACATCACGCTCACAGAAGCAGGACTGCGTGTAAATAAGAGACGATTCAAAGGGCCTGAGAGGTGCTGACGGCTCAGATATGAATGAGCGCTTGTATTCAAAAACTCTTCAAATGAATAAAATGATTGTCGCGATTGTGTGTTTGACAGCCCTGATTTACCCGAATGTGACATTCAGTGTTTTTATTATAATAATGTTATTATGATTGATCCATAAACGTGGGGTTGCAGTTCCACATGTGACCACTAGGACGAGCTGGTGTTTCAGCCTGAGATGATGCACCTCGTACCTGAGAGTTACACCTGAGTGCTCCTGTGTTTTGTCGTCATGGTGACAGTAATACGCAGCGCCATCCTGCAGCAGCTTCAACCACCGCTGCTTCTCCTCTGAGCTGCTCACCTGAAGGAAGGAAGGAAGGAAGGAAGGAAGGAAGGAGGACACGTTATTGAGTAACAAGTTGAAGTGGATGAATTCAAACTTCCTGTTCCACCAGCTCACCTCCAGCACCGCCATCTGGTCATCGAGCATGCTCAGTGTGATCCTGTAGCAGTGCTTGGTGTCGGGTTTGACCTCACAGCCTCTGAGCTGGACGGTGTACTGAGGCGAGCGCTGCCCCTGCTCCGCCTCCTCCTCCTCTCCGAACATGTTGAGGACCCCGGCCTCCACCCGACACAGTAAACTCTGCCACTGGCAGTTCATCAGCACGTTCAGGAAACCTGCCGCAGGCAAACGCCACAGCTCAGACCTCGCGTCATGTGACCTCGCTAACAGACAGGTGATGTCACAGAGGCTACATCCATCTTTGATGTACAGTTAGTTTCCATGCACATTTTTAATTCGTATATAAAAGACACAAAAACTCTCCTCGACGATCGAATCGTGCAGTTGACTGTGCTGCTCTGTCCGTACCTTTGTTCTTGCTGAGGCTGCGGCGAGCTGAAGGTTTCTCCTCGTCAGAGTCAGACTGGACTATACTGGACTGAAGGAAGAGACACGGCGTTAACAGGAAGTGCAGGTATGACCGCGGCTGCTCATTTCATGGTCACAGCTATGTTTGCGTTCTCACAGAGCAGGTTCGAGATTATTCACGCCAGGAGGCAGTGACTCGAACACTCGCTCTGCAGATGTCCAAGATAAGGACAATCGTGGATAACACCTCCCACCCACTCCATGATGTACTGGCTAGTCACAGGAGCACGCTCAGTGAGAGACTAGATTACCCACAATGCACCACTGAACAACACAGGAATCATTCCTGCCTGTGGCTCCCTGCACAACTCCTCCACCTGACACACTGTGAACACTGCAATACTTACAGCCTTTTTACACTCTTTTCTACTCTGTAAGGTTCTTGTCAATTTTCTTGATATTTATTTATCATCACCTCTGTTAATCCTTCATATTTATAACTGAGTGATCTGTTTATATTAGTGCTATTTCTTAAACGTGTAAAATCTGTCACATAATGTATTGTTTGGAGTTTAGTTTGTTACTGTTGCTATTTTTACCATTTCTTCTTGGAGCAACTGTAACCCACATAATTTCCTTTAATTAATAAAGTATTCTGATGACCTGCCCATCTTTTGCTCGTTTCTCTTCTTTTCTCTTTTTTCTAAACTGAGCTCCTGATGACTTTGAACTTTTCTTGTCCATCTTGGTTTTAATTTTGCACTCCAGTATGAAAACCCACCCCCCCAACCCGAGAATCACCACAACATAACCTAACAGACCTGCACCTCAGTTCACAGATTCACTTTGTCTAAGGTTTATTTCTGAGATTTCACACAACCCAGGATTCAGACCAGGAATCCAT